AAGTAATTATACACAAGTTACATGAAATTTTAACATATGGTTATCAAAAGAACAAGTGTTAAGAAATCTTTGAGCTGAACATTTGATTTTTTTGTTGCAAAAATTAAGCTCAAATTATTTCATAAGTTAAATGGACTGTCAAAAGATTGGAATCAATCGAAATGGGTTTGAAAGTAATTTAGTTCTAAACTGTATTTAGGACAGTTGCCATGTGCTTAAAAAAATTAAATCCAACTTAATTCATCAGTTAATTTAAATATGTATATCAATGCCAGGCGAAAGATTTTAGTTTGAAAATACTTTTAAAGGGGTTGCCACCTGTTGGAAAAGTCGAATTTCTTTTACTTATACGAAGGATACATAAATGAAATATCGAAACATTAGTGTCAAACGAAAAAATTTTAAGAAAACTATAGGCCGATAAAATTTTTATTAGAGTTGCCATCTATTTTTATTTTTTTTTGGATGTCATCACATCTGCACCGTTATTTCAAATTTCCAAAATGAGAAGTCAAATTAAAGAACTGGGATTCTACAAATATGTGCACGGGTTTAATTTTTTGAAATTACAGGGAGATTTAAAATTTGATGAAATGAAAACCGACACCATGCGAGACCTCTCATCACTCAGAAATGGTTTAGATTAATCACTAGGATTATTTTTAGAGGTTTTTGAATAGGGTTTCACCTGTTTATAAAATGTAATTAAATGTTGGCGTTTCGACGCCAGGCGGGTTCACTAGTTTGTAAAAATCTTGCATGCCAACTTCACTAAATATAGTCTTCAGACTACATACTACATATTGCACATATGAGCCCTTCAGGGCACACATCGATTAACTCCAATTTTTGAAAAATCTTAAATTTAAGTGTCAAAACACTTGGTATAGTCATAACTTATTACGTTTATAATAACTTTATATAACATACAATAGTATATAATATTTAGAACAACATTTGGGGCATTCACAACGGTGTCGTAAGTGTCGTATTGTTGTATGTCGTAAACTTTAAACGCCTAAAAAATATATTAAGAGGGTTCGCAAAGTACCACCAAAATCATACTATGAATTTTCGCAGTGTTAAAAAATAGTTGGTTGTGGTTTCAAGTTCTCTTAACATTTATTTAAGCTTTTAAAGTTTACGACATACAACAATACGACACTTACGACACCGTAGTGAATCCCTCAAATATTTATTTAATTTAATTAATTAAATTTAATTTAATACTATATTGAAAACATTAGGGCATTAAGATGTAATCTTTACTTGCTCAATGATACAAACAAATTGCAAAAAATAAAATAAAAAGTACAGATAATAATTAATATTACAATATAGATTAAGGTAATGTATACGTTGAATTACAAATCATATATTATAAAATAAAACAAAGGTAAGCTTATAACCACTATTCTTGATCACGCTTGGAAGAAAAAAAGTTAAATATGAGTTTTTTGAAGTTGCCTATGTGCAACGCGTTCTTCAAGGACAGTGGAAGGGAGTTCCAGAGTCTTACCGCATTAAAGGCCTGCTCAAACAGGCGCGGTGCGGTATAATACCGTACGATATGCGGTATCAAATACCATGGCGGTATATGGGAGCACTCAAACAGACGCGGTATTGGAAGTGCGGTACACCGCGGTACAGAACTCTACCGCAGCATGCAGCGTTCACCGTGCGGTATAAGAAGATATATCGTAAGCAGAGTTACAATTTAGAGCTAGAGTTCTACCACATATTTTAAAAAGTGCTACAGATTATAAATTCTACCTTTTTCATTATAAAAAACGTGAGTTTAAAAGTGCTCGTAATACATTTGTTGGCATAAATGTAATATTCTTTGGTTTTATTTCTAACAAAGTAAATAAAATAAAGTTGAACTTTTTCGTTTGTTTGAAAAATGTTTTTCAAATCTGGCAATGTTGCTCAGAAATATGAACGGTAAATTTACTGGAATTTAAAATTCTTTCGCAAAAGGTACATAATCGAGCGCAGATATGGAAATATTTATAAAATCTTTCTTCGTGGTTACGCAGTTGAGGCATCAGGCTGGAAAATTCACCACCTTCTTTTCTTCTCAAATTTATTTCGTGAACCCATCTTCTTTTTCTTAAACATATACATAAATTAAGAACTTTGCAGGATAAAACAAAGATGTAGGCATATTCATACCTTCTGTTTTCTTCGTCGAGAAGTGCTGCTAATAGCAATAATTCGTCCTCAGAGCTTGAGCTGTCCATCGCGAAAATCAGATTTATAATATATGTATAAATTTAGAAGGAGGAATGCGTAGAGTGCCGTCACATGGCACCAAAGTTTCGTGCTATACCGCACCGCGCCTGTTTGAGTGCCTTTGCGTATATCGTTACCGCGTATCGTACGCGATTATACCGCGCTGTACCGCACCGCGCCTGTTTGAGCAGGCCTAATAAAAAACAGTCTTGAAGTGCATAAATAGTTAAATCTCGGAAAAATGAGACCTGACGAACGTGTACTCTTGGAGAACTTAAGTTTATTGTACAGATATTCCGGGCTCTTCGTGATAAATAATTTGAACATAAAAATGCAATTACGCGCGTTCAGAAAATTTTATAAATCACAGCCAAGTATAGAATTACGCATAGATGAGAGATGATCGTATTTATTTAAACCAAATACATACCTTGTGGCAGAGTTAATGGCGATATTCAATTTTTGGAGTGAATGAGAGTCTAATTTGCCGTAGACGATTTCAAAGTACGTGATACAAGGAACAATTAAACTTGTAATTAACTTTTTCTTAGTGCTTACCGGTACATAAGGTGAAGTTACTCTAAGACATCGTATAGTAAAAAATATTTTACTCACAACTTCATTAACATGATCATCACACGCAAGTCTAGAGTTAATAAC